ACTTTGCTTTTGTTTGAAATTTCGTTTTGCCTCATTTGTTCAACAATTACAATCACTCTTGCTTTAAATTCTATTTTAGACTTAACCTCCTACTTTCTTGAATTTGGTAATCTAAGTACATAACTAATTTTAACTTCTCAGTCCTCGTGGGTACGACCTCGTACTAGTCTTGCTATATTACTAATTGGCCCGTACAATTGCGAGTTAACATTTTAACAACAGGATTCGAACCCCTCTCCACTCCGAAATTTGCAGGCACTTAACCATCACACTGCTCATAACTTTGCGAATATAAACTATGGAATCTAGTATATATAATACTTGCGAGCTGCTTTTCAAGTTTCAAATTTTCAACTATTCACCACGTTTCAACTTACTCATTTACCCCACCATTCAACCACTCACCTAACTAATTAGTTGTAGTCATATTTCTATACATATAGTTAGGTAATCATATTTCTATATATACAAATGAAATCAAATGGTCTCATGCCGTCCCTTATTTCTCAACATCTCTCCAAAACAAAACATAATACTCATATTTTTCTCAACATCCATCAACCTCAATTTCCCCGCAAGTTTATAGTAAGTTATTCTCATTAATTATTGTTATTTAATTTGCATGTTTATTATTATCTATTCCAAATTTTTGGTGGTATTATATTTTAAATTGTGTCAATTAATTACTTAGTCAATGGCATGTGGTTTTTAATTTTTCTAATTCTTTATTTGGTCACTTACATGTGTATTTATTGTCTCTAAATTCATTATTAAAGACTTTATATGCTTCCATCACATTTTGTTACACGTGTTTCATTATTGTTTTCTTGTTGGTCCATGCAGATTCTATTTGGCCTTTACACAAAGGGTTCCATATTTAAGGTAAGTTTACAAACTTATATATATGTTATTGTAATTTATACAACAACAAAAAATTTGTGTGAACTGGTGCATGTGATATGAGAACCAAATAATACTTGCATGTTAATTCTTTGAAGTAATTAAGTAATGTTGTATAATTATTCCCTAGGATAATTTTAATATGTTTAATGTTATTTATTATTTTATTACCGAATTGGATTATTATTCATTATTAGGTTTTAGTATTCCATATTATTTTCTCATTTTCCTACCCTTCATATCTCATTCCTTTTGGGAAGGAATCGAGTAGCTCATGGAAAGAATCTGAGACTCAATCTTCAAATGATTTTGCTCATGGACAACGTCAACCAGTCTCGGATCCATATGGATGACATGTTAACAATTACATGCAAAACTATTTTGGGGATTTATCATTTGATGACTACTCTTCACAATACACTTACTCTACACATAGAGATGATGAAGATAGTGAACAATTTGAACCTTATAGGAATTCTATGTGGTATTAAGTCACTTATGTATCTTACCATGAAATGTATAAAATGTAAAATATTGTAGTAAATCATTATATAGAAATGATTGTGGTGTGTTTAATCTTCTTTCATTAATTACTACATATTTTCTACACTCACAACATTTGTCAGCTCGCTATATAATCAACTTAAATTAGTTAAATCCATTATGCAATGCATTTCATTCCAATTTTTTGTGATAAACTAATAGATAATTGACTAAATAAGCATCCTCCAAAGTTTCAATAAAAATTTCCAAGGCTTTCTTACAATTTTCGTGGTTTTTATTCAATTTTTATCGATATCGATAATATCCCGATATTTCCATCGATATTTTTGTGTTTTTGGATTACCGATATTTCCGATATCACCAATATTTTAGACCTTGCTTTTACCCCAATTAAGCTTGTGTTGACTTTGACAACTGGGAGGGAGTTAGGTGGCAAAAGAAAGACTGAGCAACCACATTAAATACAATTTGAGCCATGAACCTACACTGAAGTTTACCAACTCAAGCTCTCGAGGAAGGGACTGACAGCATACTCAACCATCCCTTCACCAAGCATTTAGATTGAAGAACCAAGGAGCTTATATATACTAGTAGAGCACAACTCTCATGACACACAACTTTTCTCCCATAAAAAGACTTCAGACTCGATCAACACTTGATCTCGTTAAACTCAACTACTTTCCTTTGTATTAAGATTCCTAGTTGACAACTCATGAGTTGTCTTTTAAGTTTATTGCTCTATCAATATTTGGTATGATTCCTAGTTGCTAGGCTAGTTTTTGTTATCAGTTTATCTGTCTTTTATTTCAAACTCTTGTCGTATTGAATTGAATCAAGAGATCTTCAATTCCGAACATTGTTTATCAATTAAGTTTAAGTTTATATAGTGTTCCTTTATCATTTTATAACTATTGCAACCAAAATCGGGCCATAAAATACAACCATTTCTTACCACGCAAGGTGGCCTGATCTTGAGATTTCTTGCTTGATCTTGAGATTTTCAGCCCAGTCTGGGGTAAATTTGCAAAGAATCTTTTTGCACCAGCTCATAAAGAGAATATTGAAGTTTTTAATCATACAAAGCATTGAAAATAACTAATTCAAGCTAGTTCCCCACTTAGAGTACAATGGCTAATTAAAGGTTAAGATTTTGAGCGCAAATCATTAAAAACCAGACAACATACCAACTAATCATCATTCTATTGGGTTTACCCCAGCACCAATATTAGCACGCCTATTTAGCAAAATATTTGGGAAATTTTGAGGCATATTACTTGGGCCTTAAGCAAAACTCCTATTTCAATTTGATCCAACAGAGGAGAGGGTAGTACACAACTTTCTTGTGTGCTACTCCCACTTTCCTTTTAGGGTGAACAATATCAATAAAATATAAAACTAATTCGGTTAATATATGAAAACGAAAAAAATTGACAATTGTTTTCTAGTTTTTATTTAAAATGAAAAACAATTTTATTCTTATCTCATTTAGAATAAAAAGTTTAGTTTCTTTTCATTTTCGCTTCAAGTACACATGCTGCTTCATCAAACCAAGAACATGATTATCAACAATACACATGTTTGTTTTCACGTTCAAACTAAGAACATGCTGCTCAACATGAGTATTTGGTAAGTGTCATTCATGAAGTTTGAGAAGATTAGATGCAACGAAGATATTCACATGAAGTGTTTGCTTGTGCAACATATGTGATGAAAAACGACAAATCAAATTGAGGGTTAAATA